TCAAGCTGCTTCTCCTGCTATCTCGTGGGATTCAGGCCCAAGCACTGGGCCCATCCTCCACTGCACTCTCTGGCTACAGCAGAGAGCTGGCCTGAAGAGGAGCAACCAGGACAGAACCGGGTGACCTGTCTGGGTCTAGAACCGGGTGTGCTGGTGCCGCTAAGTGGAGGTCTAGAATATTGAGCCACGGTCTCAGCCTCCTCAAGTGTCAATGCCAGGAGCCAGGTGCTTTTCCTGGTCTCCCATGGGGTGCAGGGCCCAAGCACCTGGGCCATCCTCCACTGCACTCCCTGGCCACAGCAGAGAGCTGGCCTGGAAGAGGGGCAACCGGGACAGAATCCGGTGCCCCGACCGGGACTAGAACCCGGTGTGCCGGCGCCGCTAGGCGGAGGATTAGCTTAGTGAGCTGCGGCGCCGGCCCCATAACTGGTCTTTAAAATGTCAGTTCTGGGGCCGGCGCTGTGGTCCAGTGGGTGAAGCCACCACCTGCAGTATCGGTATCCCATATGGCCGCTGGTTCAAGTCCTGGCTACTCCACTTCTGATCCAGCTCTCTGCTATGGCCTGGGAGAGTGGAGGAGGATGGCCCAGGTGCTTGGGCCCCTGTGCCCGTGTGGGAGACGCAGAAGAGGATCCTGGCTCCTGGCTTAGGATCAGCGCAATTCCAGCCATTGTAGCCATCTGGGGAGTGAACCAGCAGATGGAAGACCTTTCTCTGTCTCTGCCTCTGCTTCTCTGTAACTCTGTCTTTCAAATAAATAAATAAATCTTTAAAAAGTCAATACTGGGAAGTAGGAAAAAGACTGAGGAATTGTTTCAGATTTACAGGAAGCCAAAAAGGCATTACAACTGAATTTAAAGACTGACTTGGATTTTCTTTTGTTAAAAAGGACATTATTCAGGAAACACAAAAATCAATGAAGGACTGGTGCTGTGGCATAGCAAGTAAAGACACTGCCTGCAGTGCCAGCATCCCATATGGGTGCTGGTTCGAGTCCCAGCTGCTCCTCTTCCAATCCAGCTCTCTGCTATGGCCTGGGAAAGCAGTAGAAAGCAGTATACTCAAATCCTTGGGCCCCTGTACCCATGTCAGAGACCAGAAGAGGCTCCTGGCTCCTGGCTTCGAATAGGTGTAGCTCCAGCCGTTGCGGCCATCTGGGGAGTGAACCAGAGGATGGAAGACCTCTCTCTCTGTCTCTACCTCTCTCTGTAACTCTTTCAAAAAAATAAAATAAATCTTAAAAAAAAAAAAAAAGACTCCAGTCAGAATGCCTGCATCCTATATTAGAGTGTCTGGGTTAGATATCAGGCTCCAGTGCTAATTCCAGCTTCCTACAAATGCAGATCCTGAGATGTAGCAGGTGATGGCTCAAGTAATTAGGTTCCTGCTACTCACTTGGAAGACCTGGACTGAGTTCCGAGCTCCTAGCTTCAGCCCAGCCCAGCCCAGCCCAGCCCCAGAGGTCGGATGCATTTGGGAGTATACACATGATTGGGATGGATCTCTCTCTCTCCCTCCCCCTCTCTGTTTTTCTCTCTAATAAATAAGTAGAATAAAACACTCCACTGCTAAAAAAAAAAAAAAAGAAAGAAAGAAAAGAAAAGAAAAGAAACGAAACCAAACCAAACCAAACCAAACCTTGAAAACAGAAAGAGGCTGATTTCTATGATCTCAGACTAAAGCAACATACCATTCCCAATTTGCCCAGTGAAATTTAGCAATAAAAACTTCCACACCCTGGGAAACCCTCAGTCCTGAGCAAACCAGGACAGTCGCTCACTCTATCTCAAACTAATTTCTGGACAATTAAAAATCTAATTTAAATGTTATCTATTTATTTTTAAGTAGAAAAAGACAGTGTTCTTTATTTTGGTTGGTACCTCTCAGTTATTCTTTTAAAGTTGTGTGGTGTGTGCATTTATACAGTTGACCATGGTATTGTATACTTCTCTGGGGCAATTCACCAAGGTATATTGATATATATGTGTGTGTGTGTGTGTGTGTGTGTGTGTATCTATATTATAATTACATATCTATTTATATATAGATATATAATAAATGACTGTAATTATAATTAAGATATAATGAAAAACATTACAAAATGTGTCCAGGGGCCAGTCCTATGGCATAGTGGGTTAAGCCGTTGTCTGCAGTGCTAGCATCCCAAATGGGTGCTGGTTCAAGTCCGAACTGGTCCACTTCCAATCCAGCTCCCTATTAATGCACCTGGTAAAGCAGCAGAAGATGGCACAAATATTTGGGCACCTGCACCCATGTGGGAGACCCAGATGAAGCTCCTGGCTCCTGCTGCCTGGTTCCTGGCTTCAGCCTGGCTCAGCCTGGCTGTGGTGGCCACTGGGGAATGAACCAGCAGATGAAAGATCTCTCTCTCTCTTTCTCTGTAATTCTTTCAAATAAATAAATAAATCTTTATAAAAAATGTGTCAGTTTTGAGAATTGTTCTATTCCTGGAAATTAGTCCCAGGGGAATCATTATAGATTGCCCACAAATAGGCCAATTTGATGGTCATCACAGTGTTATTTATAGCAAGAAAATATTGGAATTTGCCCAGACTGTCTACATCTGGAGGAATGAGTATATAAATTATACTCAAGCTATACAACTGCATGTATAGTTGTCTTTTAAATGTTTTTGAAGAATGAAATTGGAAAATGTTCATGAAATATTATTAAATTTTTAAAAAGTATTTCATGAACATGCAAAATCATTTATATAGTATGAAGCCATTTTTAAATATAAATATAATATAAATATGAATATGTATGTATACTTATTACATATGGGATAATACACTATTTACCTACTTGTGCCATATATGCACATACTGTATATACAAAATGCATTCTAATGCAAATTGGCATAATATAGTGCAAAAGTTAGATGTCTACCTCTGGATATTAGAATTACAGATAACTTATAATTTATTCTTTTTTTTAAAGATTTATTTATTTATTTATTGAAGGGCAGAGTTAGAAAGAGGCAGAGCAGAGAGAGAGAAGTTTTCCATCCACTGGTTCACTCCCCAAATGGCTGCAATGGCAGGAGCTGCTCCAATCCGAAGCCAGGAGCTTCTTCCAGGTCTCCCATGTGGGTGCAGGGGCCCAAGGACTTGGCCATCTTCTACTGCTTTCCCAGGACATAGCAGAGAGCTGGATCAGAAGTGGAGCAGCTGGAACTCAAACCAGTGCCCATATGGGATCCTGGCATTGCAGGTAGTAGCTTTACCCACTAAGTCACAGCACCAGCCTCTGTGATTTATTCTTTAATTATGTCTGTATTTCTAATTTTCAACAATGAAAATTATTTTATATTTAGAAAAAATATAATTTTTAAAAGACTTCTAATTATACATGGTGTGCTCACAAATAAGATTTCAACTGCTATAATTTTTTTTTAAATTTATTTTATTTATTTGAAAGACAGAGTTACAGAGAGAGGCAGAGAGAGAGAGAGAGGTCCTCCATCCACTGGCTTACTTCCCAGATGGCCACAACGGCTGGAGCTGGCTGATCAGAAGCCAGAAACCAGGAGCCAGGAGTGCTCCCCTGCCTCCACCATCTCCCACGTGGGTGCAGGAGCCCAAGGACTTGGGCCATCCTCTACTGCTTTCCTAGGCCATAGCAGAGAGCTGGATCAGAAGAGGAGCAGCCGGGACTAGAACCAGTGCCCAAATGGGATGCTGGCACTCCAGGCCAGGGATTTAACCCACTGCGCCACAGCACCGGCCCCCAAATGCTATAATCTTTTTTTTTTTTTTTTTTTTTTTTTTGACAGGCAGAGTGGACAGTGAGAGAGAGAGACAGAGAGAAAGGTCTTCCTTTGCCGTTGGTTCACCCTCCAATGGCCGGCGCACCGCGCTGATCCAATGGCACGAGCCAGGAGCCAGGTGCTTTTCCTGGTCTCCCATGGGGTGCAGGGCCCAAGCACCTGGGCCATCCTCCACTGCACTCCCTGGCCACGCAAATGCTATAATCTTTGAAAGGAATTAAGTTCATACATTTTTTTATACAGGTTGATTATCACTTACCTGAAGTGATTAGGTTCCAAACTGTTTCAGATTTCAGATTTTTTTCTGATTTTGAAATATCTGCATATACAAAATGAAATATCTTGGGAATAGGACCCAAGTATAAACAAAATTTATTTATGTTTTATACACTTTATAAACATAGCCTGAGGGTAATTTTGTTCAATATTTTTAGTGTGCCTGCATTTTGACTTGAGGTCAAATATGGAATTTCCCTCATGTGGCATGATACTCAAAAAGTTTTGGAACATTTCAGATTTTGGATTAGGGATGCTCAACCTGCAGTGACATTTCAATTTCATATAAAAAGCCAAAATAGTAGATTATACATGCAAACATAATGGTAAACAAAACTTAAAAGCAGAATAGACTGATGTAGAATTTCCTGAACTATCCATCCCACCTGAAGTAGGTTCTATTACCTCCCAGCTATCTGGTTCCAAGAATTCTTTTTTTTCTGTTGCTTTCAAAAACTCCTCCAGAGTCACCAATCGGTCTTTGTTAGTATCAACCTGATTAAAAGAAAATGCAAGTGTCATATAAAAGAATTCTTTCTTACATTCTTTACACACTAGCAACTCTCTTCTAATACATGCTACTATACAAACACATAGCAAGTAGGACTAGCCTAACATCCACAGCAACTAGAGGAAAAAACAAAAACGCAACACTCAACACCTGACCAGAATCAGAAAAGAGATATTGGGATTGGCACTGTGGCGAGACAGGGTAAACCACGGCCCGCAGTGCCGACATCCCATGTGAGCATCAGTTTGAGTCCCGACTGCTCCACTATCGATCCAGTGCCCTGCTGATGGCCTGGGAAAGCAGTAGAAGATGGCCCGAGTCCCTGGGCCCCTGCACCCACTTGGGAGACCAGAAGAAGCTCCTGGCTCCTGACTTCACCCTGGCACAGCCCTAGCCATTGCAGCCATTTGGGAAGCAAACCAGCAGATGGAAGATCTCTATCTCTCTGTCATTCTTTCACTCTGTAACTCTACCTTTCAAATAAATAAATATTTTTTAAAAAGAAAACAGACATCTTTCTCTTCTATACAATTCAACTTTGAAGATAAAAAGAGACCTATAAATTTGATACTCCAAAGACCACCACGTTTGAGTCAGCTGATCAGACTGGTTAGGCCAACGTTGTTTTCTTCCCTTGCTATAATATGCATAATCTCTCTCAAAGGCAGGTGCTTGGGCTAGAAGAATAACCATTCCAAAAAGAGAGCTGTTTTCACCAAGTTTAAGGGAGTTTAAGTTAAAATGCTCTCAACATTTTTTCCTCAAAGCTACCTAAATAAATCAAAACTAAAGTTGACAACCTCTCCAGATCCTCTTCAATGGTTCCATTAGGCTGTGGCAAACTGAGTTACAAAGGCGAACTCCATCATGGTCAAAGGAATGCACCTGACCCTGGCAGTGACCGCAGTCAATAAGGACGCCAAGGCAGCACTCACAGTGCAGATATTCAGGTGCAATGCACTCAAGCAAACCAGCGAGCTTCAGCTACCCTGCACAGGATGTCTTTGTTAGAAGCTTTTGCTTAGAGGAGGAGCAGAGGCCAAGGACTGCAGAGAAAGGCAAGTATATTCTGTAAGGAAAAAAGTTGTAGAACAGAGAGGAGACAGGATACGGACTCAACAGCCAGAATAAATTTATTCAAAAGAATAAATTCGCAGAGGTAGGTGGCCAACTGCAGGCGTGCACACAGACTGAACACGTGGCAGAGGGTACAATCTTCAGCGGGCTGGGCCTTATATATCTTTTTTTTTTTTTTTTTTTTTTTTTTTGACAGGCAGAGTGGACAGTGAGAGAGAGAGACAGAGAGAAAGGTCTTCCTTTTGCCGTTGGTTCACCCTCCAATTGCCGCTGCGGCCGGCGCATCACGCTGATCCAATGGCAGGAGCCAGGTGCTTATCCTGGTCTCCCATGGGGTACAGGGCCCAAGGACTTGGGCCATCCTCCACTGCACTCCCTGGCCACAGCAGAGAGCTGGCCTGGAAGAGGGGCAACCGGGACAGAATCCAGTGCCCTGACTGGGACTAGAACCTGGTGTGCCGGCGCCGCAAGGTGGAGGATTAGCCTAGTGAGCCACGGCACCGGCCAAGGGCCTTATATATCTTAAGGTGGGCTAAGGGTCTGGAGCCCAGGTGAGGGAAAGTAGTTGGATGTAAGTTTCTTTTTTTTTTTTTTTTTAAGATTTATTTATTTGAAAGAGTTACACAGAGAGAGAAAAGGAGAAGCAAAGAGAGAGAGAAAGAGAGGTATATCATCCACTGGTTCACTCCCCAACTGGCTGCAATGGCCAGAGCTGTGCTGATCTGAAGCCAGGAACCAGGAGCTTCCTCTGGGTCTCCCACACTGCTTCAGGGGTCTGAAGACTTGGACCATCTTCTACTGCTTTCCTAGGCCATAGCAGAGAGCTGGATCGGAAGTGGAGCAGCCAGGACTTCAACCAGCACCCATATGGGATGCCAGCACTGCAAGCGGCAGCTTTACCTGCTACGCCAGAGTGCCAGCCCGCATTAAGCATTTTTAATTCACCTGCATGACATGCACATATAGAAACCTGGGGCTCCACAATATCACCTAAGGAAAGAATGAAGGTAGGGAGGAAACCATGCCAAGCGATAGGCCCAGGGCACTATGACATTAAGAACTTGGGAAGAGGAGGGACAGCCAGCAAAGGAGACTGAAGATTGGGTGAGTGGCATATGAGGAAATAAAGGAGGAGTGGTATCCCAAAAGCCAGGTGAAGATGCACTCTGAGAAAAAGGGAGCCAGTGACTGCGTCTGACACTGGTTAAGAGGTCAAGGGTGACGAGCCTGAGGAGTCTACAAGACTGTGGACCCCTGGAAGGAGGAGTTTCAGTGAACAGAAGGCAAGGCAAAATAAATGCACACGAGGCAGAATGTGGTAGTGGGAGGATGAAGAATTCTCTTGATGGAATCCATTTCCTCAGGAAAATGAGAGGCAAAGACAGAGGAGAAAGAGGAAATGTCTTGAAGATGAAGGAGAGGAAAGAATAAGTGAAAGTGTCAGACTCGGATTGGAGAAGTGACCCGTCCAGGGGAATCTAGAATTGTCCAGCAGAGGGCCGGCTGGCAATTTGAGCTTGTAAGACTGACGTGAGCCCAGTTAGAATTTTTTCTATGTCCATCTCCGGTCAAATTCCACTGCGCTAACAGAGCAGAGTGATACGCTCAGGAGTTAGCACAAACAATGTGCTTAGACAATCATTACTCTATTTGCAAAGGGCATCCTCTATGACCTCCTTAACAAGTAACATGCATCATTGCTTGCCTGGAGACCCAAGTCAGAAGGGGGAAAAAATAAGTTGGATAAACCAAATTGAAAAAATGATCAGTTGTTTTGAAGAGGACAGAAACTGGGGCCAGCACTGTGGCATAGTGGGCTAAGCCTCCAACTGTAGTGCTGGCATCCCATATGGGCACCAGTTTGTCCCAGCTGCTCCTATTCCAATCCAGCTTTTTGCTATGGCCTGGGAAAGCGGTGGAAGATGCCTCAAGTGCTTGGGTCCCTGAACCCATGTGGGAGACCCGGAAGAAGCTCCTAGCTCCTGGCTTTGGATTGGCCCAGCTCTAGCCATTGCAGCCATTTGGGGAGTGGGCCAGTAGATGGAAGAACTTTCTCTCTGACTTTCACTCTCCCTGTCTGTAATTTTACCTCTCAAATAAATTTTAAATATATATATATATATATTTGAAAAGGACAGAAATTAAAATGCTAGGGCTCTGTGAGACTTTGGATTATTGTTTCCAACTATTGCTCCCTCCTGCAATAGGATCACGTACCCCCACCCAGTGTCACATGATTTAGGGAACATCCTGTAGGAGTTACACATCCCCTCCTCACTGGCCTGGGCTCTGACCTGTGCTTTAGCCAGTGGAATTTTAAGTGGACCTAAGGCAGCCGGCCAAGTTGAGCTTAAGTCTTAAATACTATGACATGGTTTGGCTTGGGGTCTCTCATGTCCCTCCTAGCACGCAGACAGAGATAGCTCCTAGGAATTCCTAGTCCAGGAATGGGAGGGCATACAGAGCCAAGCCCAGCCACAGAGCAACCTGGCCAAGCCAGCCTAGCCTAGCCACGTCTAGATGCAATCAACCCTTACAGCTCACATAACGCCAACAAGAAATAAATATTTGTTGCTGCAATCTGTTAAGGTATTGGAGTTGTGCTATTTCTTAGTAAAACTATCAGGCTTTTAAAATATCAAATACTGGATTTTATTATTTCTCACAGCCAAAAAATATTTTTAAATTTATGATAAAAATTTTATAATAAGGGAATCTAGTATAATATTCTGGATCAAAAATGCAAAATCCAATTAAATACCTATACTATGTGTTTATTTTCCATCTTATGATAAGATTTATTGCAATAACTTAAATAATCACTAAAAATAACATGTAAACTTTGAAAACATACCTCATTCATTACATGTTCCCTCATTCTAAGTCTTTCTTCTTCCATTTCTATCATATCATCCTCTTCATTTTTGGGGTCATACACTTTCTCCAACTGAAATGAAAATTTCAGAACCAACATGAAAGAAAAGAAGGCACCAGAAGAAAGAGAGAGAACAAGAACAAATACTTAATAAACTCGTTTACCTCTTTTGTAAACAGGGCTTCTAATTCTTGTTCATCCAGGAATCCATCATTATTGACATCTAAAGTTTAAGAGTTACAAATGCAAAAATAAATTTTAAGGCCTTAGAAAATAAATAATTAACATGCAGTTATTTATAAGTGGTTTGCAAAAGTGGTACTGACATGAAAGATCAGTACATACGCTAAAGAAAAAGGCTCTTTTTTTATGAAGCTTCTAAGCAGCCTGAGTCAACTCTAAATTTATTTATAAATCTGAAGTATTTTTCTACAAATATATAAAGCAAATATTCTACCAGTAAAGTAAATGCTAGTATTACATTAAAAAGCCTGATAGATATAACCTAGCTGGTCAGAGAACTACCTTAAGTTTACAAAGAAACTTGCAGTAAGTCATATAATAACTCAACAGGAAAAGCCGTATAAAAACACAGATACTGACCTGAATTATTTTATGCTGCAGATAAGCCATACAGACTATCTTAATATCCTAGAGATAAGCTCTAAGCATCTACTAGCAGGAGGGTTCAATAAGAAATCCTGTCAGAAATCAGTTGATCAATGCAAATATAATTTTCAAACAGCAGAAACAGACATTAATAATTGTATCAAATCTATTACCATGTAATTTGAAAAATGTCTTGGGGTCAAAGTCATTGGGATCCAATCCATCAGCCTCTTCCCATACCTCTTTTAGTTGATCTTTGCTTCCCTGTGAACCAATTTTAAAAAATTGCTCAAAACTAAATATAATCTATGTGTATAGACTCAAAATAAAATACGAATTTGAGGAAAGTGGCAGAATTCAGAATCAAGACTTAAGTACTAATAACTTATGGGAAAAGTCTGCTATTGGCACAAAGAAGTATCTCCATCTAAAGTCATAATCCTTACTGGATGATTGACTTTGGGATGATTTTCATGCTTTTTCTTCATTTCTTCAAATTTAGATTCTTCTTCTTTTCTCTTTTCTTCATCCAGTGTTTTTAAATATTCTCTCCTTTCATGCTCCTTCATCATTTCATACTTTTTAAATTCTTCATGCCGAGTCTTATCATAGTTCTCCAAATCAGCTGTCGCCTAGAACACAATCATTCATTTAAAGTAAATATAAAGATGTAGTTCAAAATACGAATACAAATAAGGCTCTTCTTGAATAAAGCACACTCTCTAACAGGAGGTAGGATAGGAGAGCAAAATACACTGGAATAGAAGAGCAAAAATATAAGTCCACCATTATATTTTAGCCATTATTATTGCCAGAGATGTAGGCACTGAAATAAACTAAAAGTTCAAAGCTAGTTTCAATGTTATGAAGTTCCCTATAAGCAAATAATACAAAACAAAACTTGCTTTTAAAAAGAGGAAGGAAGGGGCTGTATGAAAAGTGCGTTGTATAGAAAGCTAGAAGGGTTGCCAGCCATTGAACTGGACCTCATAACTGCCAGGCTAGAACCTCGAGTTTGGGAACTCTGTTCTTCCATGATACAAGAGAGGTGCACAAACTCTCATCTACAATTCCTGAAACCATCGGCCTGATCTAGCGTCAGCTGTTGTGGGCATTTGGGAAGTGAACTGGCAGATGGAAGATTCTCTCTCTCTCTCTCTGCCTTTCAAATAAATCAAATAAGTAAATAAAAATTTAAAATAAAATAAAACCCCTGAAGCCAGATGTGCTTAAGAATTTTCTAAATATTGTATTTGTTTTTATTTATTTTATTTGAGATACCATGAGAAAGAAAAAGAGAGCTCCCATTCATTGATTCACTCTCCAAATACCCAATAGCCAGGGCTGGGCCAGGCCAAAACTAAGAGCTAGGAACTCAATCCAGGACTCCATCTGGGAGCAGGAATCCAACTACTTGGGCCATCACCTGCTGCCTCTCAGGGTACACACTAGCAGGAAGCTGGAATCAGGAGCAGAGCTTGGACTTGAACTCAGGCACTCTGACATGGGATCCAGCATCCCAAGCGGCATCTTAACTGCCCACCAAATGCTTGCCCCAGAATTTTCTAGATTTTTAGGAAGGAAATATGGCATATATGCCATTCTATGGAACATCTTTGTGGTATCTATAATAAGACAGATTAGTATTTCTTTAACAAAAATCTATAAATACACGAGGTAATTTAAATAAAATCTAAAAATAGCATTACTATAATTGGTTAGTTCAGGTCAAGTTTCATTTTTGAGATTTTGGAATTTTTGATAAGGAACAGTAAACCTGTATGTCTATATTAATGTCTCTACTAGTAAGAGTCAAGCTATCTCCCTTTAAAATATTGCAGAGACTATCCAAAAGTTATACTTCCACTTCACTGAGTTGACCTGTCATATTGCAAAACCTCAAAAATATAATAAAGACATTTGGCATTACTCTCACCGCTTTGATTAGCATATCTAAATCTTTGGATTCAAACTTGTCAGGATTCATGTGGTTTAGGTGATCAAATTGTCTTAAAAGAGCTTGGTGGTCCATGCCTACATCTGAAAGAAAATGAAAAAAACTGTAAGCCATCAGTTACTAGATGCTAGAAACATTAATCAAAATGACACATGAGTAAAAGTATTCATATTTATTCCCTAGGATTGTATGAGAAAATGTAAAGTTTTAGAATAAGAGTTCATATTTCCTTTTCAAAAATTATTTAAATTACATTGTTATTCTAGGCAAAGGTAATGTCCTGGAATCTAGAATGGAATACAATTTAGTAAGCATATTTTAATGTTGGATACAGAAAGGCTAGTTGACCCTGCTTTATCTGTATACTGCTACAATGAATCCTTTATGGAACAATACAAATCTAATTCAGATACAAATTCATTTGCAGTTTGACTTAAAGAAATATCAATTGTTTGTCTTTGAAAACACTTTGTAGAAACAGGCTACAATTTACTGCAGTTGAACTGGACTGTCAGTTGTATTATAGAACTGAGCAAATGGGTACATGTGACAACATTACTAGAAGTCAGGGTTTGCGCTTAGAAAGAAAGAATGCACAACATGGAAGGGTAGAGGGCAAGAAAGAAATCCAAGGAGAGGGATGGGAATAGAACTCTGCATGGGGCAGGCAACCGGCACAGCAGTCATCCTGGGACATGCACATCCCATGTTGGAATGCATAGTTTGAATCTCAGCTCCTCCACTTCTGATCCAGCTTCCTGCTAATACGCATCCTGGAAGGCAGCAAATGATGGTTCAAAAGTAACTGGATCCCTGCCACCCACGTGGGAAACCATGTTGGAGTTCCAGGCTTCTGGCCTCAACCTGGCCCAGCCCTAGCTGTTGTAGGCACTTGGGGAATGAATCGGCAGATGGAAGCTCTATATCTGTCTTTCAAGTAAAATAAAAAGCAAAGCAAATTAAAAAAAAAAAAAAAAAAAAAAAAAAGAACTATCTGTATGACATCAGAGTTTCTAAAATATGTACAGGTAACATGAACATGTGCACATTTTTAAGATTTATTTATTTATCTGAAAGTCAGAGTTACACAGAGAGAGGAGAGGAAGAGAGAGAGAGAGGAAGAGAGAGGGAGAGAGAGAGAGGTCTTCCATCTGGTTCACTCCCCAGTTGGCTGCAACAACAGCCAGAGCTGTGCCGATCCAAAGCCAGGAGCCAGGAGCTTCTTCTGGGTCTCCACAGCGCTGGCCCCTAAGAGTACTTTATTTTATTTATTTATTTATTTTTTTTTTTTTGACAGGCAGAGTGGACAGTGAGAGAGAGAGAGAAACAGAGAGAAAGGTCTTCCTTTTGCCGTTGGTTCACCCTCCAATGGCCGCCGCGGCCAGCGCACCGCGCTGATCCAATGGCAGGAGCCAGGTGCTTATCCTAGTCTCCCACGGGATGCAGGGCCCAAGGACTTGGGCCATCCTCCACTGCACTCCCTGGCCACAGCAGAGAGCTGGCCTGGAAGAGGGGCAACCAGGACAGAATCCGGCGCCCTGACCGGGACTAGAACCCGGTGTGCCGGCACAGCTAAGAGTACTTTTAAAAGTTTGTAGGAGGGGCTGGCTCCATGGAGCAGTAGGTTAATCCTCCGCCTGCAGTGCCCACATCCGGTTCGAGTCCCAGTTGCCCCTCTTCCAATCCAGCTCTCCACTTTGGCCTAGGAAAGCAGTAGATGATGGCCCAAGTGCTTTGGCCCCTGCATCAATATGGGGAGACCAGGAAGAAGCACCTGGCTGCTGGCTTCAGATCAGCGCAGCTCTGACCACTGCAGCCATCTGGGGAGTGAACCAACGGATGGAAGACTTTTCTCTGTCTCTCCCTCTCACTGTAACTCTGCCTCTCAAATAAATATATAAAATCTTAAAAAAAAAAAAAAAATAGCACTCGGAGATAGAGGGGGTAGTTGTGGACTCACACTTCCTCCTAAAAAAAAAAAAAAAAAAAAGTTTGTGGGAGGGGCCAGCGCTGTGGTGCAGTGGGTTAAAGCCCTGGCCTGCAGCGCTGCCATCCCATAGGTGTGTGAATTCTAGTCCCAGCAGCTCCTCTTCCAATCCAGCTCTCTGCTATGGCCTGGGAAAGCAGTAGAAGATGCCCAAGTCTTTGGGCCCCTGCACTCGCATGGGAGATGGGGAGGAAGTTCCTGGCTCCTGGCTCCTGGCTTCGGATCAGCTTAGCTCTGGCTGTTGCAGCCGTTTGGGCAGTGAATCAGCAGATGGAAGACCTCTCTCTCTCTGGCTCTAGATCTCTCTAACTTCAAATAAATAAAATAAATCTTTTGAAAAAAAAAAAAAGAGTTTGTGGGAAATTAAGTTAAAGGGTGACATTTGGTTTTGGTGCAAAAAAATGAGATCTATGCATAGTTTTTTCATATTAGCTTCTATCAGTTCTTTTAAAGATTTATTTATTTATTTTGAAAGAGTTACAAAGAGAGAGGGAGAGACCTTCCATCCGCTGGTTCACTCACCAGACACCATGATAGCCAGTGCTGGGCCAAGCTGAAATCAGGAGCTTCATCTGGGCCTCTGACATCGGTGGCAGGGTCCCAAATAGTTGGGCCATCTTCTGCTGCTTTTCCTGGGTCATTAGCAGGGAGCGTGAATGGAAAGTGGTGCAGCTGGGACACAAACCAGCATCCATACGGGAAGCAGGTGTCACAGGCAGTGGCTTTACCTGCCATACCACAACACCAGCCCCTCCATTAATTTTTTAAAAGCCTCTCATAAACATGGATTTCAAAAGTGTTTTGCCCCTAGGGCTGGCCTTGTGGCGCAGCAGGTTAACGCCCTGGCCTGAAGAGTCAGCATACCATGTGGGCGCCGGTTCTAGTCCTGGCTGCTCTTCCGATCCAGCTCTCTGCTATGGCCTGGGAAAGCAGTAGAAGATGGCCCAAGTCCTTGGGCCCCTGCACCCACGTAGGAGACCCAGAAGAAGCTCCTGGCTCCTGGCTTCGGATTGGCACAGCTCCAGCCATTGTGGCCATCTGGGCAGTGAACCAGCGGATGGAGGACCTCTCTCTCTGTCTCTACCTCTCTCTGTAACTCTTTTAAATAAATAAAATAGATCTTTTTTTAAAAAAAAGTGTTTTGCCGCAAACTAAACATCTTTTAATTGCATTTTTCACAAACTTTTCAAAGCGTCCTCCTAGGTGCACGTGCATGTGTGTGTATTTGAGTACAGACACGGATATACTTCCTAGCTCAGGGTGATGAAAGTGCAGAAGAGAAAATATACTCCAGTAGCAAGGAGAACTTGGAGCACCAGCCCTTGTTCTATAACATCATTTCCCACTAAAAACAACCAGGGCTCCTCAGAGAAACAGCCGATTCCAGGCCTGAGGCAGAACAGGTAAAGATCAGTCTGGGAACAAATTGTTACGCCAGAAAGCAAAGAACTGCTCAAGTTAGAACAACCAAGTTTCTGGTGAATTCTTAGTATGGCATGGAACTAGGAGTTCTACTTAGGAAAAAATACATGTGGTAAAACTTAGCCCTGGGGCCAGCATTGTGACATAGCAGGATAACCCACTGCCTACAATGTCAGTTTGAGGACCGGTTGCCCCACCTCTGGTCCAGCTCCCTGCTAATGCACCTGCGGAAGCTGCAGATGATGGTCCAAGTGCTGGGGCCCTACACCCATGTGGAAGACTTGGATGGGGTTCTAGGCTCCAAGCTCTTGCCTAGCCCAGCCCTGGCTGTTGCATCCATTTGGGGAGTGAACCAGAAGAAAGATTCTCTCCTCTCTCTCTCTCTCTCTCTCTCTCTGTGTATGTGTATGTATGTGTCCCTCTCTTTCTCTCTGTAACTTTGCCTTTCAAATAAATAAATAAATCTTAAAAAAAAAAAAAAAACTTGACCCTAAAGGACATGACCAGACAGTGAAATATATAAAAAGAGGTTACCCTCACTAAAAATAAGAGAAATACATATTATGCTATCTAACAGTACAGTACAACTCCTCAAATTTGATGGCACATACCATTAGCAAGGCTGTGGGAATTTTTGCTGTGGGTATGTATACTGACACGACCTCTACAGAGGCAAATGTGGCCATATCTACCAAAAATTACAAATACACATACCTTTTGATTTTGCAATTTCACTTGGTAAACTGAGACAGGCTAGAACCAGGACTCTTTATACCAGGCTCCTCTCAACCTGACATTGTATCCGTCTCCAGCTCCAAACCAACCAGGAGCAAGGAGCACCCAGATATTAACAGCAAAAGACCCTCTCCTGCCCCACTGGGTACTCCCCAACCTGTGTGCATGCCCAGAATAGCCCATTATGACGAATACCTGATCTTCCCTGAGTGGCAGTAGTGAGAAACACCACCATTTTGAGCATGTCACGTGCAGAAAAGGGACATCAAGCAAATTGAAGGGTGGTGTGCCAAGGGGTGTGAGCCAGAGGCAGAGTCATGTGCAGACCACAGCTGAGTGCTCAGGGGAACTAGCTTGCCTCCCACTCTATAAAAACCCCTGCCAGGTTCCCCTTATTGGCCCAGCTGGTGGAACCTCTTCCCACTGTGCTGTCTCTCTTGTGCTCAAGCATAACCTCCCAATGGCACATACTGGTGTCATCAATTGATATTTGCAAGTGAGTTGAAGAACCTAGATAGATTATCCTACTGATAATCTTATATGGATATAGTTATGCGCATATAAGATTGTTCACTAGAAATAACCCCAAGGGGCCGGCGCCGTGGCTCACTTGGTTAATCCTCTGCCTGCGGCGCTGGCATCCCATATGGGCGCCAGGTTCTAGTCCCAGTTACTCCTCTTCTGGACCAGCTCTCTGTTGTGGCTCGGGAAAGCAGTGGAGGATGACCCAAGTGCTTGGGCCCCTGCACTGGCATGGGAGACCAGGAGGAAGCACCTGGCTCCTGGCTTCGGATTGGCATAGCTCCGGCCGTAGCAGCCATTTAGGGGGTGAACCAACGTAAAGAAGACCTTTCTCTCTGTCTCTCTAACTCTATCTGTCAAAAGAAAAAAAAAAAAAAAAAAGAATCCAAATGGCCACCAATATGATTAAATAAATTATGTTATATCCATATAATAGAATTCTATGTAGCTATAAAAAATGAATATTGTCAGGGCCAGCACTGTGGCACAGAAGGTTAAACTTCTGCCTGCAGTGCCGGCATCTCATATGGGAACCAGTTTGAGTCCCAGCTGCTTCACTTTCAACCCATCTCCCTGCTAATATACCTGGGAAACCAGTGGAAAATGGCCTAAGTGCTTGGGCCCTTGTACCCATGTGGGAGACTCAGAAGAAGCTCCTGGCTCCTGGATTCAGCCTGGCCCAGCCCCAGCCATTGTGGCCACTTGCAGAGTGAACCAGCAGATGGAAGATTCTCTCTCTCCCTCCTTCTCTCTGTATCTCTGCCTTTCAAAAAAATAAATAAATCTTTTAGAAAAAATGAATACTGTCTGTGTGTACTAATACAAAAATGTATATTAAATGTATATTTAATATTTAATAATTTATTATTATTAAATATTTATATAAAAATATTTAAGAAAAATGTATATTAAATGGGGGCCAGTGCTGTGACGCAGCAGGTTAAGCCGCCATCCAGACTGTCGGCATCCCATATACCCTTATATAACTCTCTGGGCCTGTCATTTTTTGTGGCACTAGATCTCCGACAATTTTTCTATTCTATGTACAGGAAATCATTCTAACTAAATTTTCTTTTTCTGCTTTTTTGGATTTCCTAAGATGTTATATTTCCTATTATAAGTTAGTCGCTCACATCCCTTACTGAAGTTCCTGCGTTGGAGTCCTGGCTCTGCTTCCGATTCCAGCTTCCTGCTAATGCACATCCTGGGAGGCAGCAGGCGATGGCTCGAGTGGCTGGGTCCCTGCCACCCATGCAGAAGAACTGGATTAAGTTCTGAGCTCTTAGCTATGATCTGGCCCAGCCCCTGCTCTTGCAAGCACTTGGGGAGTAAAGCAGGGGTTCAGAGCTCTGCTGTCCTCACCCACTATCTCTCTGCCTTTCAAATAAATAAATATCTAATTTTAAAACAAATAAATGGGGGCCAGTGCTGTGGCATAACAGGTAAAGCTGCCACCTACAGTGCCAGCATCCCAGTGGATGGAAGATCTCTCTCTCCCTCTCTGTAACTCTGCCTTTCAAATAAATAAATCTTTTAATAAATAAAATGAATAAATGACTTAATTCATTATTTTTCATCTATATATTATTTAAGAGTAATCATTTTTCTTTTGAATGTTATGTATATATTACCTATTCAAGAAATCAGTTAAATTTAAAAAATTAAGAGATGTGAAATCATTAGTAACAAAATTTTGACAAGAACATGTCATATGTTAACTGAGCTCAGCAATCAAATATTGAGATTTTCCTACCTTTTCTTTAGCACTTACCTTGAAGGGAATCCAATTTAGCTTTAATCAGCATCCTTAACCTTCCTACTTCTTGTCTTTTCAGTTCATCAAGCTTTGTCCTTACATGATGACTTACTAAATCCAGTTCTTTGCTTAACCTCCCACTCTATCAACAAAATTAATAAATTAATTGTATCTGGAACAATCCATTTTTAGATGAGATGCAACACATTATAGCTAGGGTTTTAATAAATAATAAGTAAATAATGAATAAAATACTTTTGACTTAGATAAATTTATCATTATAAAAAAATTTATTATTATAAAAAAATTTCGGGGAGCCAGCATTGTAGCATAGAGTGTTAAGCTGCTTGGGATACTGGATAGCCATACGGGAGTGTCAGTTCGAGTCCTGGCTGTACCACTTCCAATCCAGCTCCCTGCTAATATGCCTGGGAAGACAGTGGAAGGTGGCCCAAGTACCTGGGCCCCTGCCACCCATGTGGGAGACCAAGCGGAAATTTCAGGCTCCTGGCTGCGGACTGGCCTAACCCTGGCTGTTGCCACTATTTGGAAACTGAACCAGCAGATGGAAGAAGATCTCTGTCTGTCTCCCTCTGGCTAATACTCTCGCTCTAGTTCTCGCTCTCTTCTAGTCTCTGACACTGACTTTCAAATAAATAAATAAGGAAATCTTTTTAAAAAAACATTTCTTTCATAAGAGATGCTGTTTGTAATTCTGAAAGCATGATGTCTAAATGCCATGTAATTCAGAAAGCATAACTAAACCACAAAGGAGAAACTCAAAAAGTAGTATTAAAAAAATAGTACAACCAGTTGTTTGGCAGTTACTCAAAAAGTTAAACACAGAGTTAGCATAAGACCCACCAATTCTATTCCTAGACATATACCTAAGAGGACTACAGACATACTGATACAACAATCTGAACATACACATTCATGACAGCATTAGGCCTACCAGCCAAAAAGTAGAAAACATCAAATGGCCAACAACTGAGGAATGAATATACAGGACCGTTACGGGGAAATACTATTCAGCCATAAAAAGGAATGGAATCCTGACACACGCAACAACATGATGAACTTTGAAAACATTATGCTAAGTGAAAGACGGCAGACGGAAGAGACCACGTAGTATAGGATTCCATTTATATGAAATGTCCAGAACAAGCAAATCCCTTTTCTCAGTTACATCATCAATGCTGGCATAAGCTCTACCAGGGAGACTGAATTTCCACCCTTCCCCACGGCTTCATCCTGGATTCTGTCTGTCCTCAACCCCTCTCTAATATGTTATACACTCATCACATATCCATCCTAATCATCTCTTTCTGGATATGATTTTCTTTGGAGCATTCCTTAACAATTAGGAATGAGTCTCATCTTATATGCCCAGGACTTAGCACAGTGTCTGGCTTGCTCAAATGTTGTTAATTATTTAATTACATAATAGTTAATTAATATTTATAATTAAGTAATAATTATTTCTTTAATAGCATTTACCTTTAATTCCTCTATGTCTGCTTTTTGGAGCTTTTCTCTGAAATGGTTATCTGTTTCCAGCACATCAATCACTTGCTTGAGGTATTCATCATAATAAAGCCCAGTGTCCTTCAAAGCAAGAATCAAACAATGACGCTTCTGGAAGTTTTTTCTGTGCGAATCTAAAGAGCTCAATCCTGACGAACTGTCTCTAGCAAAATGACACTGAGACCTGTCCAATTTGATGACTTCAACAAAAGGAAAAAGGAATATTTCTCCAGGAGCTTTGTATCTAAACCAATATTGTGTTTAATTACTACATAAAGGCAGACTTCCTATGTGACTTAGACAATGAGGATTCAAGTCACCATATCAGTTGGTTTCTCTCCATTGCCATCTGTCTCTCCTTTGAATATAACAGTGTTTTCTTGGCTGTTCCATTCTACTCATACATTGGAAATATATTGTGATTAATTCTTCTGTGTACTAACTATAGTAAATAAGCATTGGTTAATGTTAAACAGCATATGCTTGTCCAATACTTTTTTTTTTACTGCTATTTCAGGAATAGTTCCTAAATGTTCAATTTTATAAGTAATAAACAATAGTGAAGTTTAAGCAATGATTGTCTCATTCCACTTCACTAAGTTATAACTTCATTTCGCTTCACTTCATTTAGTTGTAATTGTAATCCATTTAGCTACAATTAATCCCGTTTTACTTACTGGTGGCTCTATCTTTGCGCTTTCTACAGGTTGAGTGTTTTGTACTTTGGTCTTGTCTATGTCTATAGGCACGGCTTCAAGGACAGTAACCAGACAGGTAACCATGAGAACACAATGTTGCGGCAGAATGGTCCTCCAGCGCATCTGAAATAAAAGAATAATTAGAGTAAAATCCCAAAAAGATGTCCTAAAACTACATACATGCATCCCCAGTGTCACATTAAAAATATATTCAATCCTAAAAGGCTTAATACAACAAAAAATTCTAGGAAAAGGGTAAAAATCATGTTTTTTTTTTTCACTATAAACATATACCTTTTATAGGGAGGGCAGCAAAGCCAAAGGTACTCCCTATAAAGACAGTCACTTTAAATGGTAAAGTTAAAAAAGTAACTATGTGCAGGTGAACATCTACTGAGTGTGTGTATACAGTGTCCCATACTTGTGAAATATGACTAATTTCTGGAAGCCTTCAAAAGAAAGTGGTAACACTGAGAGTCACTGGGAAACAACTGTGGTAAGAGAGGAAGAAGGAAGCTTTCATAATTAAACCATACAAACATTTTAAATTTGGACCACATGCACATATTCATCAATAACTACAATTAAAAAATATAAAGTTTAATTCTCTTCAACAGCAGAGAGGGGCGATTCGGAAGTCCACGGGACCTGAGTCACCCCATTATGGAGGGCAAAAGTTGCCCCAGAAGCCAGAAGAGCTTCCTCAGTGCTTCAGTCCTGCACCTCACGGGAGGTATTACAGGAATGGCACACTCAGGTGACCAGCAGGGAGAAGGGCTCTGGACAAGCTTTCTGGTCTGTGCGATGTCAGCTGCTTGTTCAGCGCTGGTTCCTAGGAAGAGACCACTCACTGTCCTGCGGGTCAGCTCTTCACCGGATGGTGCTGAGAATTCACAGCCGTGATGCCCAAGACCCTCCTCTCTCTGGTCTCTGGATCCTGCCCCTCTCAGATGGCAGCTCCCCCTGTTCTCTGGCTGCAGTGTTTGCTTTTGAGAAGAGAATGTTGAACAAGTCAACATCTTGTCACTCAAGAGTCTGAACTCTCATTTGCCTTGGAAGACTTATGCTTCCGTTTCTTTTTTTCTTTCTTCCTTTTTTTTCTCCTTTTTCTTGCATTTCTCTTAACATTTTGAGGAACTGGAGTTGCTCCCTTCTTCGTCTGACGTAGAACTATTTTGAGTGCTGGATCCTTACATCCTTTTCATGTCTTTTATTCTCCTGAATGACGTCATACATGGGAACTTCATGTGCTAACTTTTGGTTGCCTTTGATAAAGAAAGGACATTCTGTGTCGCCCGTTTGGTGATCATAACATTTGCAACATCAACGTTGCGTCACTTTGACTTCCTTCCCCGGGGGCATCCAAAGTCCTTTAGTTGGCGCATGAGCCAGAAATTCCTGGGCATGTTCATTGCCTGGTACATCCGGTATACAGTCTTCTGGCTTCATCTTATCTTCTTTGATAAGTCCAAGAGAAGGTTTTTCATAATCAGCCAACAAATACCGACAACTGCCCAACCGGTCAAAGAACACTCAGCTCCTCCTGGCAGTGCCAAGAATCCAGGTCTTCACCCCGGTTCAGGACCAGGCCAGCCCCCCACCCACGCATTCTCCAGGAGGCGCCTCTGCAGATCAGGCCTGCGTGGCCCCCTCCAGGCATCTTGTGATGCTAGCATCCCACACTGGAGTGCCAGTTCAAGTCCCAGCTGCTCCACTTCCCATCCAGCTTCCTGTTAATGCACCTAGGAGAGCACTGGATGATGGCTCAAGTATTTGGGCCCCTACCACACATGCGGGAGACCAGGATGGAATTCCTGGATCCTGGCTTCTGTCTGGCTCAGACCTGGCTGTTGTGAGCATTTGGGAAATGAAGCATGGGATGGAAGACCTGCCTCTCTTTTCCCTTCCCTTACCCTCAACCTTTCCCTCTCCTCTCTCTCTGTTCCTCTGCCTTTCAAATAAATATTTTTTTTAAACTCACCCATTTAAAGTATAGCATTTTCTAATCTGTAAAGACACTACTTAAAGTTTTGTTCTCAAACCTACAAGATAAGATTATTTGGGAACTTGTCAGAAATGTAAATTTTCAGGTTATACCCAAGACCTCTGAAGTAGGGCTCTGGGGTTAATCTGTTTTAGCAAATTTCCAGGTGAATCCTATGTGAACTGAACCCCACTATTACCTAGGAACTAGTGCTGTGAGTAAATTTTTTAAAATATTTTATTTATTTATTTGAAAGGTAGAATTACAGACACTGAGAGGAGAGAGAGAGAGAGAGAAGTCTTCCATCTGCTGGTTCACTCCCTAAATGGCCATAACAGCTGGAGCTGGGCGGATCCGAAGCCAGGAGCCAGGTGCTTCTTCCAGGTCTCCCACGCAAGTGCAGGGGCCCAAGGACTTGGGCCATCTTCTACTGCTTTCCCAGGCAACAGTAGAGAGCTAGATAGGAAGAGGAGCAACCGGGACTAGAATTGGCGCCCATATAGGATGCCAGTGCTGCAGGTGAAGGATTAACCTACTGTGCCACAGTGCCGGCCTGTGAGTAAATGTTGTTCAAAGATGACAGCTCAATAATGCTAACTAAGTTATTTTTACAAGACTTGTGATGGGCTTCTAAACATTACGAATCTCTAAGAGGAGGTTTATTTCTCCAAATAATATCATCCCAATATGAATTTCCTCCTCTTCCCCCACAATTATTTTTCTGACAACTAAAGTTTATTTCTCATTCATTGTTCATGCCCACATATGTGGGTGTGTTTTTGTTGTTGTTGTTGAGATACAATTCATATGCCTTACAATGTCCCCTTTTAAATTGTACAAGTCAATGTTTTTTAGTATGTTCTCAAGGCTGTGCAACCATTACTGTTAATTTTAGAACATTTCTATCACCCAAACAAGAAACTCCATACCTATCTGCAGTCACATCCCACTCTCTTTCCCCACCCCCTGGCAACCACTCATCTTCCTGTCTGTATATTGCCTACTCGGGACATTTCATTCAAATGGAACCATACAAAGTGTGGGTTCTTGTGTCTTGCTTTTTCCACTTTATTTTTAGGATTCACTCATTTTGTACCAGGCATCAGGAATTTGTTCCTTTTTTTTAATCACTTTATAGATATTCCATTGTTTGGATGCACCACATTTTATCCATTCGTAAGTTGATGGACATTTGTGTTGTTTCTGCTTGTGGGCTATTGTGAACAATGTTGCAGTGAAGATTTGTGCTCAAGCTATTGTGTTAATACGGTTTCCATCCTTTTGGCTATATACCTAGGAATAGAACTGCTGAGTCCTTTTGGTAACTCTATGGGTAATATTTTGAGGAGCTGCCAAACTGTTTTCCAAGGCAACTGTGCCATTTTACTTTCCCACCAACAGCAGATGAGAGTCTGACTTCTCCACTTCCCTCCAATGGGTTATTGTCATTTCTGCTGCTCCCTCACTCTTCTACTAAGTCTACTGTGAATAAGAAAGCAGGTCAAGAGATGAATGTGCTCATACATATTAATGTGTGTGTTTGTGTGTGTGTGTGTGTACCCTGACACCATCTCAAAATGACAAAGTCACAAAAAGCCTAAGGGAACCTACTCTAAAACACTGACTGAATTTATGGCTCACAAATATTTAATTGATCCCTAAGTTTATCATAAATGACAAAAGAAACCATCTTGAGTATTTGCCATGTACCAAAGAGTATGTTAAATATTTATATATTAATGCAGTTAAATCTCACAATGACCTTCTAAAATCAATACTGTCTTCAATTTAAAGTACTGATACATTTGCTTTTTTTTTTTTTTTTTTTTTTTTTTTGACAGGCAGAGTGGACAGTGAGAGAGAGACAGAGAGAGAAAGGTCTTCCTTTGCCGCTGGTTCACCCTCCAATGGCCGCCGCTGCAGCCGGCGCACCGCGCTGATCCTGGCAGGAGCCAGGAGCCAGGTGCTTTTCCTGGTCTCCCATGGGGTGCAGGGCCCAAGCACCTGGGCCATCCTCCACTGCACTCCCTGGCCATAGCAGAGAGCTGATACATTTGCTTTTAAAAAACTTGATCTACTTAAAAATAAATCATATGAGAGATATCCAAGAACACTAATTAGAAAACTACAGTTTTCCTCTCTCAGAGCCACCCGCCCTGCCCTTGGCTGCTGCTGCTGGAGGTTTTTGACTTAAATAAACCTTGCTTTGCTCGAGGAGAGGAGAGGAGAGGAGAGGAGAGGAGAGGAGAGGAGAGGAGAGGAGAGGAGAGGAGAGGAGAGGGAAGGAAGGGAGGGAGGGAGGGAGGGAGGGAGGGAGAAAGTAAAGAAAATCACAAAATTTTATGGAGAAACACCTTAAAAGATGTCTTTTTAGGAATTGGAGGCTCATAGCAGATTCAAAGATTCTAAGAGTCAGTATTGTGAGGATCTCACTTCTAAAGCAGATCTGTAGATTCAGTATGATCTCAATCTAAATTCCAGTGGGCTTTCCTATGGAACCAAATGACACGGGAGATAAGAAGCCAAAAATAGCCAAAACATTCATATTACCAAATATCAAGATTTGTTTTGAAGCCACAGTGGTTGGGATGGTGTGGTATTGATATGGGGTAGGTAGACCAACAGAGCATATTCAGAGTCCAGAAATGGATATATATATATATATATATACACACACACACATATATACATACATATACCTGATTTATGTCAAAGTAGCTCTCCAGAGCCATGCGACTGAGTGAAACATCCATATGAAAAAGTAAAATTGGATCTCTTCCTCACAGACCAAAATAAGTCAACTCTAGATGAATATAAGTTCTGTGAACAGCAAACAATAAAATTTCTAGGACACAGGATACCTGGGTTAGGGATAGGCTTCTTAAACAAGACCCCAAAGCTACTAACTATGAAGAAAAAGATGGATCAACTCAACTACATTTAGATTCAGATCTTCTGTTCATCCACAGAGAAAAACAGTTGTATATATAATGAACAAATGGATATGGAGCAAGCAGAAGTCTCATCCTGTTGTGGTATAGTTTTATATAAAACAAATAGCGTATTTATGAGTCATGTGGAATGTATTCTTTTGTGTCTGGCCTTTTTTGCTTTTAGGAGTCACCCATGTTGGGGCTGACACTGTGGCACAGTAGCCTAAGCCTCCACCTGCGGCGCTGGCAGCCCATATGAGCATCGGTTTGTGTCCCAGTTCCTCCTCTTCTGACCCAGCTCTCTACTTATGATCTGGGAAAGTAAAGAAGATGGCCCACATGCTTAGGCCCCTGCACCCATGTGGGAGACCCAGAAGAAGCCCCTGGCTCCTAGCCTCAGATTGACTCAGCTCTGGCCATTGCAACCATTTGGGGAGTGAACCAACAGATGGAAAACCTTCATCTGTCTCTCCCTCTCATTGTCTGTAATTCTACCTCTCAAAAAAATATAATAAAATAAAAGAAATAAAATCTTTAAAAAAAAAAAAGATTCATCCATGTTGCGTGGTCAGCAGTAGCTCATTCAATTTCATTGCTGTATAGTATTCCATTATATAAATGGACCACAATCTATTTGTCCCTTCTATTTGCTGAAGGACATTTGGATTGTTTGCACTTTGGACCTGATGCGGATGGTGCTGCCCTGAATGTTTGTCCATGCCTCATGGTTCCTATGGCAATTCTACACCAAGTTCATCACCCAGCAGAATTAACATAGGGTATCTGTATGCTCAACTTTAAGAAACAATACCAGGGGGCTGGCGCTGCAGTGTAGTGCGTAAAGCCGCCGCCTGCAGTGCTGGCATCCCACATGGGCACTGGTTTGAGTCCTGACTGCTCCACTTCCACAACTCTCTGTTATGGCCTGAGAAAGCAGTAGAAGATGGCCCAAGTCCTTGGGCCCCTGCATACCCGTGGGAGACCCGGAAGCAGCGTCTGGCTCCCGACTTCGGATCTTCGAAGCTCTGACTGTTGCAGCCATCTGGGAAATGAACCAGCAGATAGAAGACCTCTGTCTATGGCGGCTGGTGCCCCCAGATGGCACAGTGGGTTAATGCCCTGGCCTGAAGTGCCAGCATCCCATATGGGCGCTGGTTCGAGTCCCGGCTGCTCCTCTTCTAGTCCAGCTCTCTGCTATGGCCTGAGAAAGCAGTAGAAGATGGCCCAAGTCCTTGGGACCCTGCAGCTCTGGCCATTGCAGCCAACTGAGGAGTGAACCAGCAGATGGAAGACCTCTCTCTCTGTCTTTACCTTTCTCTGTAACTCTTTCAAATAAATAAAATACATCTTAAAAAAAAAAAAAAAAGACCTCTGTCTCTCTCACTCTCTCCCTCTTCCTCTCTGTAACTCTGCCTTCAAATAAATAAATCCTTAAAAAAATTTTTTTTCAGAGGAAATTTAACTAGATCTTAGTATTCTTTCAGTGCTTAAATTCTATTATCCACTTATTCTTTGTAGTGAAGTACAGATCTTTGCTGTTACTTAATCAGAAATATTAATAAAATTGCTTATATCCTCACCACTGAATTAAATGACTAAGGTCTATCACATATGAATGCCTTTCTTTTTTTTTTTAATAGGTCAGCACTTTTTTTTTTTTAAGATTTACCTAACAATTTCAAATAATTTGTTCAAGGAAAAACCTCAATCATTTAAATTATTTTTAAAAAATATTTTCTTTATTTATTTGAGAGGTAGAGTTACAGACAGTGAGAGGGAGAGACAGAGAGAAAGGTCTTCCTTCCGTTGGTTCACTCCTGAAATGGCTGCAACGGTGGAGCTGTGCTGATCCAAGCTGTGCCAATCCGAAGCCAGGAGCCAGTTGCTTCTTGCCAGTCACCCATGTGGGTGCAGGGGCCCAAGCACTTGGGCCATCTTCTACTGCTTTCCCAGGTCACAGCAGAGAGCTGGATTGGAAGAGGACCAGCTGGGACTAGAACTGGTGACCATATGGGATGCCGGCACCGCAGGCTGAGGATTAACCTACCGTGTCATGATGCCAGCCCCATAAATGCCTTTCAACAGTATATTCTGCCCGTTGAAAATTCACTGGCAGTTGAGGCCATCACTGTAGTACTGCAGGTGAAGCTGCTGCCTGTGACCTCAACATCCCATTAAGTGCAGGTTGCAGTCCCAGCTGCTCTGCTTCCCAGCCAACACCCTGCTAATGTGCCTGGAATGGCAGCAGATGATGACCCAAGTGCTTGGGACCCTACCACACACTTGGAGACCCCGAGGGAATTCCAGGTTCCTGGCTTTGCCTTGGCTCAGTGCCAGCCACTGCAGCCATTTGGAGAGTAAACCAGTAGACAGAAGATCTCTTTCTCTCCCTCTCTATGTAACTCTGCCTTTCAAATAAATGACTGAATCTTTAAAAAAAAAAAAAAAATTATACTAGTAGAGCAAGAAGCAAGTCTGGGCCCTGTGATACAAATATTAACTGTAATAATAACAAAAATCAATTAAGGAAGAAGTTTATAATTAGATACAATACAAAAGAGGTAAAGTTTCACATGTTGGAGTGTGAAACATTATGTCCTCTGATCAAACACACCTTGCTTCTGTGAAAGAAGAAATAAAGTTGAGGTTTAGAGATCCTTAGATTTGCATTTTATTTAACATGGATTTATTTTAAACCTTTGTTTACAGGAAGGAGACAATAAATTGTTATGGCCATTTTTTTTTAATCTGTACATGTTCAGCACAGGTTCAATTTTTCCTCAAATTTTTTTTTAAGATTTATTTATTTATGAAAGAGTTACAGCGAGAGAGAGAGACAAAGAGAGAAGAGAGATCGTCCACACGCTGCTTCACTCCCCAGATGGCTGCTATGGCCAGGGCTGGGCCAGGCCAAAGCCAGGAGCCAGGAGCTTCATCTGGGTGTCTCATGTGGGTGCAAGAGTCCAAAAATTTGGGCATCATCCTCCACTGACTTCCAAGGTGCACTGGCAGGGAGCTGGATTGGAAGTGGAACAGCCGGACTCAAACCAGGGCCCATATGGGATGCCAGTGCTGCAGATGGCAGCTTACTCTGCTACCCCTCAGTATCCGCCCCATTTCCATTTAAAAATCAAAAACTGTTTCACTTTCTGATTATTTTAGATGACAAAAAACTGAAATTTTGAAGGAAGAACTTGGTTTTAAAATCAAATTTAATAAAACACATTAACAACCAATAGAGCCAGAAGCAAAAGGATATATATATTATATGATTGAGTTTATAAGAAATCCTAAATAGACAATCCAAATAGAAAACGGATTAGTAGCTGCCTAGGGCTATTAGTAGAGGGTGGAGAAAATAAGTGTTAATGAGTATGGAGTTTCTTAGGAGGTGATGAAAAAGTCCCAAAATTAGATAGTAGAGATGGCTGTATGACCTTTTTGAACATCCTAAAAATTCACCTTTAAAAGGGTGAATTTTCAGAGTGGGCGCTGTGGTGCAAGGGGTTAAGCTGCCATACGGGAGTGCCTGTCCTAGCTACTCTGCACTTCCAACCCAGGTTCCTGCAAGTGTACCTGGGAGGCAGCACATGGTAGCTCAAGTGCTTCGGTTCCTGCCACCCACACGGGAGATTATCAGGCTGGATGATAAAGCAATGTGGAGTTCCTGGCTTCTGGCTTCAGCCTGCCCTAGCCCCAGCTGTTGCAGACAATTTGGAGAGTGAATCAGAAGATGGAAGACTTCTCTCTCTCTGTGTGTGTGTGTGTGTGTGTGTCTCCCCTTCTTTTTCAAATAAATAAATCATTAAAAAAAATATAAGGATGAATTTTATGATATCTGAATCATACTTCAATTTTTTTTTGTTTTTTAAGTTTTTTTTAACCTTTATTTCATACTTCAATTTTTAAAGGAATAAAAATAGAGCAAAAATCCAAGCTCATAAAATAAAATGTGAAGATAAAAAAGTTTAAAACAGGAGCTGGCGCTATGGCGTAGAGGATAAAGCCACCACCTGCAGTGCCGACATCCCCTATGGGCACCGGTACGTGTCCCGGCTGCTCCACTTCTGATCCAGCTTTCTACTATGGCCTGGGAAAGCAGTGGAAGATGGCCCAAGTGCTTGGGCCCCTGCACCCACATGGGAGACTCGAAAGAAGCTCCTGGCTCCTGGCTTTGGATCAGCATGGCTCTGGCTTTTGTGGTCATCTGGGGAGTGCACCAGTGGATAGAAGACCTCTCTCTCTCTCTCTCTCTCTACCTCTCTACCTCTCTACCTCTCTGTAACTATGCCTTTCAAATAAATAAATAAATAAATCTTTTTTTAAATTTATTTATTTATTTGAAAGAGTCACACAGAGAGAGGAGAGGCAGAGAGAAAGAGAGAGGTCTTCCATCCACTGGTTTACTCCCCAATTGGCTGCAATGGCCAGAGCTGCGCTGATCCGAAGTCAGGAGCCAGGAGCTTCTCCCGGGTCTCCCACGTGGGTGCAGGGGCCCAAGGACTTGGGCCATCTTCCACTGCTTTCCCAGGCCATAGTAGAGAGCTGGATCGGAAGTGGAGTAGCCGAGACATGTACTGGTGCCCATAGGGGATGCCGGCACTGCAGGTGGCGGCTTTACCCACTATGCCACAGCACTGGCCCCTAAATAAATAAATCTTTTAACAAAAAGTTTAAAATCATCCACCAGCTTCATAATTTTTTCATAATTATCAATTTTCTATATTCTTAATTCTGTCTGCTTGTTCTACCATTGCTAGAAAAATGTGAAAAAACCTTACATTATGATTTTGGATATAGCTGAGATTTTCTAGCTTTCTGCTAGACTTGACCTTTTATGACATTTGAGTGACCTTTATATCCCAACTTGTCTTAAGCCTATTTTAT